CGGCATAAATCGATGGACCACATTCTGCCGAAACCCTGTTTCCAGTCGTTTGTGCTTCGTTTGGCTGACAGAGGAAGAATGGCAGTACACCAACATAGTTTGTTTTTAATCGCCACAAAACTCACCGAAATGAAGTTGAATGGATTCGCGAAATTCTAAGCAACTTAGCTGAAAGACTGAACCAAGTTGCTTTTGAAAGAAAGATACAATTAATTTCCGCAAGTACTCAAAAACTGGTCGTCCCTGTATAAATAGGTGCATGTGTGGTATAACCGTATCATCGCAGTTTGACTTTTTTGAACGCCAGGTACTGTCATTTTGAGGTGACCTTGAACCGAGAATGGTACTGTCATTTTGAGGTGACCTTGAACCGAGAATGCAAACCTACTTGCCAATCAATAGCTTACCTTGTTTGATTCTATGTTGATGCGTCTACAAAGTTTCCGTCACTTGGTGGTAGAAAAATGGTATTCAAATAAAACTATCTTGAAGGGATTGTCTTGTTCTTGAGGCATTATGTTAAGGTAATTCCAAAGTAATATTTCTAATGAATCAGCCACATGAATGACGCAAACATCAGGGAAAGTAGGTATGACCAGCTTACTAGTTGTAACCCACCAAATAAAACTTTCTCTTTGCTTTGTTTGCGACATTGTCGGACAAACAAACAGACAAGCAGAACAACCGACCTTCCTGTAAACGCAACATCACCGTCAAAAGAAAGTATATGAAATCAACCGAAAGGAAAATTAGAAATATCAATAACTGTATCATCGGAAAGTAGGATGCCTTGAGATTCCTTTCCGGTGAACAGCTGAAAATCACTGTTCAACTGAGATATCTTCACTCAAGGAGCCAGTCAGCACGTGACCAGATAATATGAATCATGTGATTGCTGTATAATTTCCGCGGTATCTTACTGATAAGCCCATGGCCAGATACTTTTGTGTCGCTTCCACTAACCGTGAGGTCGCGGGTTCGAAACCTTCCTTAATTTGCGTGATGTGCACAATCGGAAATATTGTACTGTTGTACAGCATACCACGGAATCTCAGAATGACCAGACTGCGCTTATAGGACCTAATCTTGATTCGATTTCTGAAAAGGTATCCGAAATTGGGGAATAAGGCTGTTCAGCAGGCTAGGAGGAGCAAGCCCGTTCACCTTCTACATTCGACTGCCTGAAATGACATTGCGAGGTGTATCACATGAATAATCCCCAAGTACACAAGGCAAGTGCGTGTAACCAAAATGCACCTCCGTTGGCATGTGAAAAAGGAAGCTAGTGTCCCATTGCTTCAGTATATGGCACGACATCACACTTTCCAAATCGCTTCCCGGCTGGACTCATCTGGACGAATCAGACGCAAGGAAAAGTATAAAATATATGATGTGATACTGTATGATATATTTCAGGTGTTTTTGTTTTCGGGATTTTGTAGAAAACATACTCAAACGACTCTAGTTTGAACAATCGTCATTCTGTCCTCGCTCAAAACATGTTGAGTCCACACCAAAAGGGGGGAAGCACTGGACTCGAGTTTATTCTTATTAGAGCTCATCAGAAGTGCATACCCACTGGCCCTGCCGGGGGTAGAAATTCGCGCATGTGTGTGAGGCAAGCGTGTCACTACTACTTTACCAGCGCCCGATGGACTCATCCGGATTTTTACGTCCGAACAGGCGAACATCTTCGCGCGAATTCACTGAGCGAAATATCCGTGGTTCGAACCCGATCTCTGGAACTCGACTTCCCCTGTCTAGGCTTGGGAACCCTGGCAGTATCCCAGCCCTCTTGCCTCTTCTCGGTGACACGGTGGCTAGACACCGAAAGGGTGTTACAGCTGAACAATACATTTTAAAATACATAGTTACCGGAATAAACTGGTCGTGAATAACGACGGACATCAACCGTGATAAGACTGGAGCTATGGGCAACTGTTATGGACGGTAGATACGTATGGCGAGGTTAACAGTGACACATTTGAGAACTTCACATGCTTATGAGTGCTTTGAAGCGCTGAAGGAACCATACGGGGAGTGATTGTGAGTTTAGCTAGGCTATTAGATAAGTAAACTGAACTTCCGCACAATATTTTAGGTGGGTAACATCCCCCGTTTCTTCTTCGATTAAAAGTGATCTTCGTAGAAGCGGGTTTCATACATTTCATAACTATCCTTATGGCAAACGGAATTTGTAGGGAGGGTCTGACACTGCTGACGCGATTGGGTTGTACAACCGCGTCCCTTTATGTCACTGCGTTTTCCGGTGGTGTGCAGAATGATAAACCAATTGTCATCAGATGTTACTACAACGTTTGCCCCGAATGGGATGACTTTACCGCAGTACATTGGGAGATGTAGGTACATGAGTAAAAATAAAGCGAGACTAGTTTTCCTGTTCCATGACAATTCACGTAGAAGCGTTCCTGTCTCAATCGCCGGATCAACTCACTATAAGCTTACCACCACGACGGTCAAGGTGCCCATTTTTTTCTGCAGGCGATTTTGCACTTAACGTTTTTTAGGTTCCCAGTGAATCTAACTGGCCTCCGGGAAACTACTAATCCGATCAACCGGGCCCAATTTATACAATGGTAAGAGGTTAGCACTCCTGTTTTCATGCGCCCCCATTCAGCGCAGTCTGAGGTCTCAGTGAAAACGACAATGGTTCCAGAATTCAAATACGCAAATCAGTCTCCTCCTTATGTTGTGTTGCCCCACTTTATAGTTTCACAGTCAGAGTCTTTCATTCTTCACTGAGTTAGAAGCTGAGTTTGCTTCTCACCTCACGAAGTATTGAGCTCGAATACACATAGCTGTCTGTAGCCGAGTCTTTTAGACAAGTATCGGGCATAACAACTGTCCCACTACATCTAACCCAAATTTACTCCGGTTCTGTTTACACACATGCCTACCTTTTGGATCATGTTGTGTCTGCATACGCCCAAGGCCACAAATGCCCCAAGCAATTATGACGGTAAATTAAGGCACACCACCTCCGAAAATTACTCTTTTATAGGATAATCGATTTGTCCGACTAAAAATAACTTAACCCTAAGCTTCAGACTCATGATCTTGGACTGAAGTCCTCCACATAATCAATTTTGTACCAATTTCTGTCTGTCGGTTTTCTGTACCGACAATCCACTTTGGTTATCAAAGTCGGCGCAACTATGTCCCGATGAATAATTTATTGATATCCAGCAATAAACCTCAGGCGACTTGATTTGATTAAGTTCAGTTGTTTTCTGATAATCCTGGATGTGGCCGCAAATTGCCTAATAATCACAAAGAAATGAAATAATTCATTCTATTTTTTGTGGTGTACTGACACTAAATCTTCCAGACATCTCAAAACAAGTTTGAGAAACCGAGAAGCTGGCCAAAATGCAAGTGTACATTGAATACCTATCATTTTCACCATGAAATGACTGATGGCACACTTCGGCAAGACAAGAGTTCAGATGCATCAAAATCGCATTCTATTCCTCCATTCATGAATTTATTTAACTGCCTGAGCTCCCGTCTGTACTACTCCCCCGTTGCGATCTACCGTTAATAGCTCAAACCATCCGCAGGATGATCTTGGAACTGCTTCAACATGGATGTTAGGCCATGGGGTTAAATCAAACCTAACAGTAATACCATAATAGTGTATAACCGACAAATGGTCCCCTCAGAACCTATTCCATCACCCGATGGACGGCATCTCGGCATCCCGAGCATCCTTCTATGCTCGCGATAGCAGAAGAACCGGGACGAACAAGCATCCGAACTGAATGACAGACGTGAGGGAATCCTGTTGCCTTGCATGAAACTTACCATTCTGGTGGTGCTCCCACACTCACACGACATGTTGTCTTCAGTCTGCACTCTACCGTGCAAACATGGCAAATTTGAGCATATCCCTCTTCAACAAATGCCAGCCTTTTATCCGACGACTGTGCTTAGTTCTGCTGATGTAACTGCTTCATGCGCAAATGTTATTCGAACTCTTCAAGTTTCCAACTCCCATTTCTCTTGTTGCGCAATGAGTTCATCAGCACTTGTGTTCGACCTTTTTGAATAAAATAAGGCAGTCCGGGGAAGCACCTGGAATAAAAATTGCAGACGCATCAGTTGCATCTCGTTGTCATTTTTTTTGTAATACCTAGGATACTGTTTACTCTAATGTTTACTCTATTACAAGATTCTGTGAATTCCTATCCAACACGACCCTTTGTTAGCAGACAGGTTCGTCAAAGAATATTTTCAAACACAAAAAACTATCCATAGTTAGAAAATTTTGCCGTTTAATCCAGAATATCTCCCTTTGATGAGTTTGCACTTTCTTGCGTGGTTTTTCGTACGAAGGCATGTGGTGCTCATTTGGAGGGTGCCTCAAGTTTGGAGAAGACTGAAGTTACCACAACTAAATTTTATTCAGTAATTAACATTATGACTCAAGTAAACGGTCTAATACGAGCAGTTTAATACACTTCTATACATAAATAAGCGTCCTATGAACTATGACCCATAAAAACACGTTTCCACCGCTAACAGTTGAGCTGTGAACCTTAAAGTCGAAGTGTGAATTTATTCAGTCATGCCTTACAGGGCCTTACTGGCATCAAAGTTATTGGAATTCTTCGTTTTCACCTTCACGCACAGTTTTAAACATAGGTTTTTATAATATGGCACGAGTGGGCAGACTTCTCTGTTCCTTGAAACACCATATCTTCAGATGCATTATGTCTCGCCTAATGAGAAAAAATGAAAAATCCAGTCTTTTTTTTATAATCGAAACTACTGACAAGTTCGCTGAAAACTCTTCGACAGCCCACGACCGGTTTCGCCCTTCTTGGTGCTCATCAGATAGGCGCAGTCCCCGAGTTTTCGTCAACCTTATGATCTAATTGAACCGAAATTGCACTGTTTTCGAGAAATACACTCATTTGCAAATCAATTTGGTTTACACGAGAGACTCAAATGAATCTCTCGCTTATGATATTCTACAAATGAGTGTGCTGTATACAGGCCGCCTCATGATTCAGTTGACACGATATTCGAGATATCGCGGTATATTTTCATAAAGAAAACTACGAGAGATTCAGTTGAGTCTCTCGTGAAAACCAAATTGATTTGCAAAGGAATGTGTCTCGAAAAATCCAGACCTTCAGGTGTTTTTCATATATGCATACTATCCTTGTGTCGACTAGCTCAACTCATACTGGTACACCCCTTGCTGCCTATTGCCAAGCTGACAGAATAAAAATTAGGAGAAAAAAAGAAAAGAAAGAGGATAGGATCAAACAGATTGGTGTAGAATAGAATAGACTTTATCAAGAGTTGTCTCTGGCACCAGACTGGTTAAAGTTGACGACCTTGAGGTATCCTGGATTCGGGAGATCGCGCAAAACTCACCATCGATTTGAACCATCCCGAACGTATTCCCAAACGTTTTGTCTGTCGCTTCACGTAATAAAATGTGTGCGTTTTAGACTGGTGTGGACTACTGGTTCTATTCTAAAATGACAGATGCTCTGGTGTCAAGCTATGTTGTGTCCACCTTTCACACTGCAAATCAAATGTGAAAGTTGGTGGTTGACATTTTGTAGATTTTATGTTTGCAAGCCCAGCAATCATTCAAACAAATAGGTACGTTGAGCCTGAAGTTGAGTATGTTCAGTCTGATTGGCATGTCACCGTATCTGTATGACGTTCAGACAGGTGAATTTTTAAACCCAGGTTTGTTGGGATATGGTAAGCCTTCGCAGACCTACGACTGTCTATCGTATGACGCAACTCATCCAAACGTGGACAAAATATGGCTTCGCTTTTGACTACAAAACAGTGAACAAAACTGTTGCACCAACAAAAACGTTCAGCCATCACATCTGCTTTGTTCGTGCTCAGTTTCTCGGCACAGCGCAGTTCCCATTCAGTTGCAGAAAATCAAAGAGGTCTTTGGGTTTCATCCGCCAGGTTTGTTAGGTGTCGGTGGACTGGAACCCTATTGTGTTGTGTGACTCTTTCAAAACTACAGACATTGGAACAATATCAGAATGCAGATGTCGCGGTCGTACAAAGGGGAGTAGATACAGTTTTATTGTGTGAACGAGGGGCATGCCGTCTTTTTTTCGCTTACCCATCATAATGTAACAAAGCTGCTGGCATTTTGCATGGGATTTTGGAGATCTCAAACGATCTCAGGACTAGGGAACACGACTGTTTCTGTGGTGACGCGTAGTGCTTACAGTAATTTATCAATAGGAGATTACGACGGTAAATTTCATACAAGACTTTTACAAAGAACACGCTTTGGACTTTCTTGAAGGTTGAGCTGTCGCGCAATTCTATTTTGGTGGCCCGATTAAAGTGGCCTTCCCTTTGATGAGGTTCTATGGGTTGGGATCGCAAATCAGTCATCTGTACGTCAAGAACCTAAGCTAACAGACTAGACAAGCAGCTGGATCTATCCTTTGTTTGTACAGTAAAATCAATCTTGCTGAAATGCTGATCAATTTCATCACTTCAAATTAACAACCGTCGGGAGTTGAGGTACATTATCTACTGGCGCAATGTGGGCTACACTCACAACGAGCTTGTTTTCTCTAGAAAAGCAAGTAGCCAATGATTTGTCGAGCAAACCATCTTTGATTGGAAGATTCACAAATCTCAACCTGATAGTCATACCACGGACGTAACGTTTGTGAAATTTTGCGTTTGATCGTTTGACTGTCGATGGTAATGTTGCTCACTCAGATTCTTCTATGCTTCGCTTTATCGATCGATGGCAACTAGGTTAGCAAACAGCCGACAAAGTCTGGCGAATGGGCCATAGTATCCTCCCCCAAACCATTTGACTGAAATATTGGACGTTCGATTATCCCTACTATAAAAAACCTACCCTTCCGGGTGACGGCAAGCAAAGCAGCGAGGAGCAACAATCGAATTCATTGGTGCACAGGTGTCCAGGACCACCTGCACTGATTTATTTGCTTGTTCATGAGGTAAACGAAATTTCGACTGATTTCATTGTTTCCATCGGAGATTTATGGTACATTATCACATATTGTCCTGAATTTTAACCGAATGACCACGTATTACACCGTTGTGAATGATACTCCATGGGAAGTTGGCTCGATTTTTTCTAAGATATCGTTTTATCGATATTTTGTTGAAGAACCTATCAACCAGCTGAGAACTAGGGATACCGTATGGCCGGCCAGCTGTTCATCCTATGGAAAATTTAGTTGCTACGCTCGTATATCTGAACAAGATCAACTGTATAATCACGTGTTATCTGAGTGGGATCCATCTGCATAGTGATCAGGCCAAACTAAAACTTGTTCTTCTTGTCTTGGACTGAGTTTCATTCAACCATTCAAAGGGAAGAGGGTCTCACTGAAACACTCGCAATAAGAGTGATGTACATCAGCACACAGTATGCCCGAGGAGAGGTTCCCATAAGGACCAGTGGCTAAGTTTCTGGGCTGAAACTATTCACTGGTGGAAGCTAACTACAACGATGTAGGTGATGTCGGAGATGTAGCTTTCTAAAAATATTACTTTTCCCCAATGAATGACCTCCACGGCGCTAATTGCTCGGGTTCTATCTGAGCTTTTCGTTTCTGGACTCCCAAAAGAAACCGATTTAATATTTGATTTGAAAGGAAGCAGTTGGGAGCTGATTCGACAACCAAATAATTTGAGGAGCTCATTGTTTTGTCGCAGGCACTTTGTCTCCCGTCAATCTGTCACTTTTAGTACGAAACAAAGAGAATATGCAGCATCCGTTGTCATTAAAAACCAGCCATAATGCAATCCACAGTTTTCAGGAGTGTGTAAAAAACTCTTCCCCTTGGAACATCTCAGGATAGAAGGTAGAAATACCAGCAACAACTAACAATTTTAACGTCGTCAAATAATTGGCGGTGATGTGTAGATTGCCGTGTTCTTCGGAGTTCAAGGATTAAAGTGAACTTTGATAACGATAATGTCGCTCTCTTACATTATGACTGAGGCCATTTTAAAAAAGTGGTGCTGATATATTCGCCAATGCAACTTTTTCTCGTCACTATTTCAGGCACAAATTACTAAAGATAAAGCTCATTTTATTCCATGGTTTTTAGAAATCCGTTGGCATGATTTGTGTCCGCAGGAGCTTGTCTCCATATTTCTATGTACAACGTACCAAAGCACTTTTGAAATCCAATTATTTGCCGCAGCCTGCGGGCGGATCCTCAGATTGAGAACTTGTCTTTCCTCGGACCTGCTGAAAACCAATCGTATGTTATTTCACTGATCCAGAGGGACACGCGTGAAAGCGTTGGAAGCTCCTTGAGCTTGAATCGCATGATAGTGTCCCACACAAATCAAAACAACTACCAGATTGCATAAAGTTATCATACTACTCATCAGGTTGCTGAAACCCTTCGACGACCGATTCCGCACTTCTTGGGGCTAATCAGGTAGGCACAGTCTCCCAGGTTCCCTCAACGTCATGTTCTATCTGAACCTGAATTGCACGAAATTAGTGGGATACACTGATTGCTATTCCTATTTGGTCTTGACAGGACACTCGAATGAAACTCGCGTTTGCGATGTTCTTCTTCAAACTTGTTAGGTTTGTGCAATGTATTGTGGTACTGGCGCATCGAGATAACTGGAACATGGGCTTTCCTAGCAAAAAAGACCATTACAAATGAGAGATTTTAGTAGGTTTCGGTGAAAAACAGATTAGTGCAAAATAATTACACTACTGAAGTACACTCAAAAGTATACACAGATTGTCTGCAGCTATATCGAGTGAAGAAGGAAATTCGGACTTTCGTCCAGTGCAAAGTCAACTTCCCCTTTCTCATCAAACCAAAGCCCACCAAAATTTACGACGAAGAGGAGTGCCTGTTGCAATGAAAAATTTACATTCCGGCGACTGAATTCATTTGACTGACAAACTACACGGAAGTGTATGCTTCCAGAAGATAAACGTAGTCCGTTATCTTCGACCAAACAATGATTGGACGGGGTGCGCATGGTTTTTTTTAAGAACTAGTATTCAAGGAAGCAGACCGTTCTGTCCACCCTTAGTAGACCGTTCTGTCTACCTTTTACACTGTCTTGTTTTCCACGAAGAGCGCATACCAATCCCACCAGTTGGTTTTATTTCACTTTTCCTGAACAAAACGAAAACAATGTAGCCTTGAAAAACGTCACGTGAATGTGAAATAGAGAAAACCTCCTTCCAAATGACATGCGACTCCATCAGCTCACTACAGATATCACGTCGGACACGCCTTCATCGTGAAACCACTTTTTATCCCTCTCCTGTGGAGATATATTAGGCACTAATAAACTCAAAACGGACTCTGTTTCAAAACAAGTGGAAAGCTTGAGAAAGGTCGACACAACCAGAGAAGTTACTGGGTAGTCGTTTGAACTGTCGGGTCAACATGTCACATCATTCAAGCGTGAACATGTTCGTCAGTTTAGACGCGAAACTTCAGATACGTCGAGCGTGCACCGCTCGACGGTACACATGCTCGCCTCGCATGTCACGTGCCCCGAGTTCAAGGACCAAGGGTTTCACTGCTGATGAATTCCAATGCGAGCGAGACCCTAGTCAAATGCTTCCACCCTGGGAACGAAGTAACCAGAATAATTAAACCTGGATAGATGTAGGACTACCCAAAAAAAGAGTGATGTAAATGAGAAAGCACCGTGGTGTTGAAATCCGTACTAAACTAAAATTCAAGTGTCGTGATTATGTCATTCGCCGATGGAAGCGTTTTCAGAAGCAGTCTTCTACCTGGCTGCCAATCAGAGGCCAGTTAGACCCCCGAGCTACAAACATATTGACTACTTTCCGGTTTTTTGCTTGTCAATGAGGCTTTCATAGCTTGATGAAAGAGGCAAAGTGTAAACGTCCAAGATCAGATGCACTTCACTGAGGCCACCGCAGACAATCACAAAGATTATGTTTAATGAAATCGGTGTCTAAAATGTCGCTGCTGCATCATTTAGGGATATACATAAAGGTAACCTTAAAACATTCGCCGAAATTATTGATTTGGATAAAAGATAGTATGTGAGGGTGTATAAATTTTCTTCTAAGTTTGCAATGTTTTAAAAGCCATCTGTCTTATAAATAACGCAATATGGTGATGCATACAAAACCAGGAAATGACGTTACATGTAGCTTAGCCTAAGGCAATAAAAAATGTAATTTAGCTGAGAGCATCTTTTTCATAGCAGATCCGCTTGTTTAATCGCTTGTTTTGACAGCTGAAACTCAGCAGTTACCTTGAGAATAGTGACGAAGGAATTGAATTCGTCCGGTTAGACATTAGAATTTATTTGATACATTTCAGGAGCAATCGCTGATTCAAGCATAAAAAGCCCCACGAATTTCAAACTAACGATTACAGCAGTAGGTGTCCCGGCTTAACTAGATTTCATTTATAGATGCAATACACTACTCATAAGGTTGCTGAAAGATCTTCGACATCCCATGA